GCATACTGGCTGCCACCCCTTTGCAAATAAGGCTCCTTTCAGATGTGTTGCTGTTTGTGCACCTGAAACTGCTGCTTATCTGTGCAAAAGTAAGCCACTTTGTTTAAATGAATGACAGAAAACAAAATTAATTGGATATCCTGTACAGAATACTGTGGGGTTTTTTTAGTGTTATCGAGTTTACGTCATATCAGTAATTTGAAATTACTGGTGAACCAATAGCACTTATTTTAGGAAGAAAGAGCCCTACACCATTCTGTGATAATTTTTGATATTATTATTTGGTTTACTGTACAAACACATATACTTTCTTTAACTGTTTCCTTCTTTGAGTTCAATGTTAGATTGCAGTATTTCATACCTGCTTTGTATGACCATAAATGACCCATCACATATGTGACACATGATAAAACAACCAAAAGCCAAGCTCATACTTACCATTTTATAAACTCTTAAGAAATCGTCGTGGCCTCCTCTGCTTATTTTTTGTGTTTCTGCAGTTAAAAATTTTACTTATTATAACTAAAAGATAGCTTTCATAAGCTAATTTAAAGCTGAAGTGTGACTTGTTTTCTGTTTGTCACACAGAGGAATGTGCTATCTCTTAAAAATTAATTTATCTTACTTCTTGGAATTGCTTTGCAGCTATGCTGCAGAGATAATATAACAGTGTCAAACACACTTCTATCTCCAAAAGAAAACAAGGAAACAGCTGGGAGTGATTCCCAAAACTGTCATTCACTGTGCAATGTTCAGAAAGTCACAAGTAGAGATGCTAATACATCTCTTGCATCCAGGATTGCCCTACATATGTAGGACAATTGACTTCCTTACAATAGCAATTGGAAAACTGGAGCTTCTGCAGTTGTTGTGTGCTTATTTGTAACCAGTTAGTGTAATACCACAACATCAGAACAAGCCCAATAGCAAACAAATACAGCAAAAATGTGGATTTATGATGTGCATGATCAGTTTTTGTCTTTTTTCACACAGAAAATCCCCCCTTTTCCTCCATCTCTATATTCTCCTCAAGCCAAGCTGATTAACAAACAGCCTGTGCTAATATCTTGGAACACACGCACACACACACACACTCTCTCTCTCCCCCCCCAGGTGATAAGATCTTGGTTGGAGAGATTGACTATTGATTAATTAGTGCTCTTGAGGTCTCATCCTTAAAGGACAAATGTTGATATTTTGAACATTTCTTGAGTGGATTCTGGTGTTTTATAAAAGCGGATGACAATTTAAAAATCTGAGATTCAGTAACATAAAATATTATGAAAAATCTACATACCGCAATTTTACCAGGAGTGAAAACTTCCTTTTACTCTAGAGAATACAGAGACTTCTAACAGATAAAATAATAGAAAAAAGAAAAGTGCTTTACTGGCATTTTTAGGTCATGTTTCAATACATACTGAAATATTCTCTTTTATTCCAGAGTTGTTCCAGATTGAATTATTTTCATATTTCTTCCAGCAAATTTTTTTAGCAGAGTTTTGAACTCTCATTAGAGTGATGATTTATTTTCTCCTTTTGGCTGTGTAAAGCCGCTGAAGCTGTTTGGCTATATTGGGAGCTAACTGAGTGACACATGTACAGAGGTATAATTAATACAAACCAAATGCACATCCAGTGTAAGAATTATATTTGCACTTAATCTAATATGTATTCATAGCAAGAGTGAGGGGATGACTTCTTACTCTTTCAGCTTCAGAGTTTAAAGTAATAAAATTAACTATGCAGGAAAAAGACAAAAGTGAATATAGAATGCAGTAACAAAATGAAGGAGAATCTGCTTTCTTTTCTGCACGTAAAACGTTGGGATATTTTTTCAAAAAAAAGAAGGCCAGTATTACAAATGCTGCTGTGTGTGGCTGTAGCAGCTTTCCAAGTGAGTCATCAGCTGTGTTTGGATCCAGTCTTTCAGTTCCTCTGCACAGACACCTGTGACTTGAAGGAAAGGATTTCCTACATTAACTGGCACAACCAGTAGCTTTTTATAGTCTAAGGATCATCTACTTGAGAAAAAGAACTAACAGTGAGTTGCAACTTTAGAAATTGCTTCACAGTTACCTTTGACAGACCCTTTCCTGAGGCTTTGTGGCTGCTTCGTCAGAGGGAGAAAGGGACGGATTGGTGTCGCCTCTCACTCTGCAGAAGGGGCAACCTATGGCTCCCCATTGCTTCTCAGTAATAAATGCTGCAAAGTGCACAGTGTCACCGCAGGGACAATATACCTCGAGCAATACCTCAAACAATACAGGATCCCCTGAATCAGGTCCAATATCAAATGCTACCTGGACATGAAATATGGATTAAAAGGATCTTTCCCCTATCTATAGAAATTATGTATCTGGATGTCATTGGATGTGTCATTAGACGCCTACCTGCATTTTACGACATCTTTTAATTTAATGAAATCATTATTTCAATATCAGTTTTGTCTGAAATAAAGACAAACCAAGTCTAACCATTACAGAAGAAATTTATTACTTCCGTACAGATCCTGAAAGAGAGGAAAATTTGGTTACAAGTTTCTCATGACAATTATTTTAAAGGATGATCTTTATTTAGTTAAAAAGTGTTATAAAACCTGTTTCAAAAAAGAAATCTATGTGGGTTCTGGCAAGCCATTTTTTTTTAATTTTAATTTATGCTGATTTTTGTGTGAACAATTTTCTTTACTCTATGAAAACTTAAAATGGAAAAAAAGATTGACATAAGTGAAGAATTTCAGTCTTTTCATATGAAATGTCACATGGAAAAAAAGCCTCAAGCCACTTTCTGAACAATTTTAATGAGCTTGAAACTATTCTGTTAATCTCAGTGGAGGTTTAGTAATTTCATGTTAATTTTGTTCATTTTTTTTTCTCCTGTAAGAAAGGGGAGGATTGAAGATCTGCACTATTTGTTGTGATTGATATCTCATTTTGGCTGTCAGTCACCAGCAGGCTTTTGTTCCTGGTGCAGGTCAGCTGTGAGAAGGCAGAATGCCCAAGGGTACACCCTCATCCTGGGCAGAACTCGGCTGTCATTTCCAAGCCCACAGGCACTCTAGTGTCTCCTTAGATAGCTCTAATGAACTCTAATCCCACATATTCATTTTAAGATGGACTCTTAAAATGAATCATAGCAGCCAATTACATTTTGTTTTGTTCATTGGTCCTAGTTGTATTCCTTGCTGATAGCCAGTGTCAATACATGTGCTCTTGCAATGGACTATGCAAACATAAAATTACAGTTAAGTAGTCAAAAGTCAGGATGTGCAAGCAGAGCCATACCTTCACTCAAATACCATTACCCCAGAGTTTAAGCCATTTTTTCATGGTTCTTAGTCATACTTGGCTCTGATTGATTAGAGCCTTAAAGGCACATTTCCCTTTGCATGGCAGTCTCATTGAGCTTCCTGTAAAACAGGCTGATTGATCTCATTTAATTTATGCCTATTTCATTTGGGGACACATATTGGTCTCTAGGAGGGGAGAGTCCATCTCTGCCTACAGGGATCAGTCGTTTGGGTGCAATTAGTTTATAATAGTTCATAGCCTCAGACCAGTTCTCTACCAGAGTGCTTTTCACAGCTGCCCCTGACTTGCTTGTATGAATTCAGGGTTACACAAGTTACTAAAAATTTCCTTGCAAAATATGGGTTTTAACTGCTGGACAGAAGTAAGTGTATATATGTCAGTTTCTGGTGATATTCCTCCTAAAAGGTTTGAGTGGTGACAAGAACATTTTTTCTCAACTGCAAATGCAATTGTCTTTTTAAGTACAATGCTTTTATAATCCTGGGCTAGGAACAAATTTATCAAAAAGCTAGAATTATTTTCAATTCTTATTATTACCATCTTACACATTGTAACTATGTTGATTTTTCTTTTGAGAATCTGAAATAATAACAAAAAGCTCACTCTTCATTTCTTAATATTTGAATGGATAGATACTTCAGACTTTAACTGTGCTATTATTGTCATGCATCACAGACTATTTTTATTCAAAGTAAAACATTACTTACGCAAGCAGAATTTTCCCACACTATCACAGCTTTAGAAGGTGATTTGATGAATTAAAGGGACCATTTTACACTACTAGGATAGATGAATCTGTGGTCTGACACAGTCTGGTTATTTTGATGTCCAGTTTTAAACAACTGAAGTGACTAGGGGCACAGCCTTAAAATACAGACTGTTTTCATACTCCAGACTGAAAAGTGTCAGATCTGTGGTATCGAAACATGCTGATTTATTTGCTGCATGTTCCACTCTATGTTGTCAACATACTCCGTACTGGGGAAATTACAATGTGTACTAGTCCACATGTTCTGTACAATGCCCATTTACACCAGATGCTTCAATCTTGCATCTTTAATTTCTTGCATTGCAATAGATGTATTCCATGTAAGCTTGTTTTCAGAAAAAAATAAGCCATATGTCATGCACTGATAAGAATTTCCCACATGGTTATAAATGAAAGTGCTGTTCTGCTTTCTTGTTACAGAATTTAATTACCTTACATGTCCATGTCCATAGCACCAGATTGGCCATTTAGTCAGTTGGTTACTAGTTCAAAACCTGCTCAGAGGCTTACAACCCAATGTAGTCTTACTGTAAATCAGTATCTCTACCGTGCAGAGAATCCAAGTTGTTTGAAAAAAAAAATTTTTTTTCAACAAAAAAATATCTTGCTGAGGTGAAACACTCAAAGTTATACACACCATGCAGAAATTTTATTGGAAAAAGTTCTTAGATGAGCATCATGTGGTCTGTGTGCGCTTACAAAGGGGTATGTTAATGGAAAATATATTGGAAATGCAAGCAAAATATCTGCAAACAAAATTAATGCTCAATGGGAAACTATAGGAAAATAAAAAACCGGAACACATCTAAAAAATTGAAGATGTCTCTTGGTGCTTCTTCCAGATAGTGAAAGAAAATTATTAAGAGAAATACAGTAAGGGTTTTTTACTGTTGTTATTATTTTTTCTTTATCAATAGGCTTCAGGAAACTGATAAACATATGAAAAATATCCAACTGTAGCCCTGAGTTACCCAAGACCTAAGACAAGCCAGGTGTGGGGACGTTAGTGATGATGAGAAATAAGGGGCAACAGGGCTGTTGTCGCTCCTTTAGAAGCCCACTCAAGGGCTGCAAGTGAGTGCGAGATCATCTTCTCTGCTGTTCCTCCCCAAGAGAGTAGAAGTCATGGGGCTGAGTGGTCAAAGGAGAACCTCAATCTTTTTCTTGACAGAGGTAATTTTTCTCTGGCCTTTTTGTATAATGAATCAGTTATTTGAATTAATCAATAACATTCTGAAGTACCACTGGACTGGCACATATTTCTTTGATTGACTTTCCTTTGGTTTTTCTCTTGAACTGCTGTCCTTTTTTGTCTCTAGAAGGCTGTGTTGGGTTAATCCTGAAAAGGGATAGAGGCTGCAACAAAGTGCTGAGGAGCATCAGTGAAAATAAATGGTGGGAAGTAAACTTTTCAGTGCACTTTCCCTCTACTCAGGACTTCCGGGAGGTGAGGTCCACCTCACTCCCAGCCTGGAGTGACTTCCTGTACTCTGCTTCCATTGGTGTAAAACCAATTACTCCTGGTTGCTTATATCTCTGCACATTTGGGGCAAGATATATTGGGTCCTGAGTATTTTAAATTCAGAACAGAATATTTTACATGTCTGCAGTGAGAGATTTTCATTCATCCATATAATAGCTATATGCTTTGTCCATATAAAGATAGTTTATGATTTTTACCATTTGACAGCATTGCCACTGGGCTATGCAATTCTTCAAATTTAGTCCTTCCACAATTCCATAAAGTAGCAATTAGCTAAAAAGGAAAATAGTTATTTGTGTTTAAACATAAAGAAGAAGAAAATATACCTGCTGAAATTGACTATTTTAATTTCCGAGAAGTCGGAGGTTTAGAAGGGATGTTCTGGTCTTGAGGTTTAAAATCTAAAATATTGGGAAAGCATAAAAATATTATTTTGACAAAATAGTCTGCCTTTCCTATTTTCTCCCAACTATGTATTTTTACCTATTTTTTAACAGAAATCTTAATTATGAAACTCATTCTATCTAACAATAGTTTTAGCAAGTAGGTCAGTCCTTTTTCACATTATTACTTTCTACCATTTTCTAGGCAATTGTGTAGATATTTTAATATGTCCAACTGGAGATAAATTATCCTAGAGGACATCCATGGTTGTTTTGGGGTATGCACTGGAGCCAAAGCAGTATTGCTATGGAAAATCATCGTGATGCCTCAAACTAGTAAGTCTCCATAGCAACTTAAAAAAATAATGACAGCTGTACCAAGAAATTTGCTAATAGAAGCCCTTAACACATTTGTCTAGACTCAGTCATACTTCATACTCATTATAACCAGTAGACGGATTGTAAGACAATAAAACAGAGAGAAATAAACAGGGAATATCTGCTTTTCCTGGTATTTCCCACTGACTTCAGTTAAGTTATCTGACCTTGTCTGTGGCCAATACAACCATAAAAGTGAAATGTAAGAATATTTAATAACAGATTAATCACAAAATATTTGATTCTAATATGTACAGCATTTCATTTATTATACGCAATATATACAGTGGAAATTTCTCATTAATTAGCATAAAGCTAGGTGTTCTGAAAACAAATAAGAAAATTCCCATACTGATAATGTTAAAATTATTGGCTGTAACAGTCTGTGTTGAAAAGATTGAATGAAAAATGCAGCAGTATGAGAGACATTCTGTTCTAAAATGGCCTCACTCAAGTTCAAATTACAGGGCACTGATATATAGAGAAGGATTCTGTACAATCAAATCACAAGAGAGATTGCTAGCTTTGGCTTGCTGGAAATGTGCAAACACACCACTAGAGAATAAGACAATTAGCTGTGCAACTGTTGAGCTACAATATATAGCAAGAACCAAAATTTTTATGGGTTGGTATCAGTTCAAAAGAGATGTGACACAGGTTGCTGATTTTAAGGCACCCTTTGAATTTTCTTTATAAACAAAAATTGTATCTAATGGAGCAGAACTCTATATAAGACCTTAAAAAATAAAGAGTTAATCACAGAACTGAAAAAATAGTTGAAACTGATTTTATCTGATTACATTTTTATTGTGAGTTCTGCCAAGAATACATGTTCTCGGGGGGGTTGAAAAGGACAATTTAATAAAGCTGAAAATAAGTTTGAGACAATCAACTGAAGAAAATGTAAACAGAAAGATGAGAAAGATAATTGTCCATTGTTGAATAACATTTTACTAGATTCCGAAATTGCATTTTCAGAATGATGTTGTTGCAGTGATTTAAAGAAATAACAGTACGGGTCAAAGTAAAATGAAAAGCATCTCTAAATCATAGTGAAACATAGAAAAAGAAAGCTGGAACAGTCATAATAACAATTGTCTTGGATTTTAGAAAGTAGATAGTGGAAGCAAAATGTCAAAGACAAAAATCTATGGTTAGCAGATCTAAAAATGAAAAGATAGAGAAAGGAGTTCCCGGTTGTACTGGGAATCCTGATAATATTGTTGTTCTGTGGCTGTATGATGATAGCAGAATTCATGAAAAGCAGAATCTCAGTCACTTGGTGTCTGCATTTGGGGAAAGCCAGATGGTAGTTATATGACATGATGATGCAGTCCTTTTAATTTTAACCAGTTACATAGCAGTTTGTTTAATTTAGACATTTAAAGTTTGCATGTGTACTTATCTTGCATCTGACAGTTTTAAAAGAACTAGCAAAAGACCTCCATGGGCATTTTATTTTGGTGATTACAGTGTTGAAACATGGGAATTTTCAAGTGGGGAAAAATCTAATGTGTGCCAATATTTAAAGATGATAACAGAACTAACTCAGGAAATTAGAGGCCTATCAAGTTGAGATTGCTCAAACACAATTAATGTCCATCAACATTAGCTTCACAAAAATAATTTTTGTCAGACTAATTTGATCCCATCCTTTGATGAGATTACAAGTTCTTTTCAATCAAGATAATATTGTTGATGTAATAAACTTTTTGAAAGGACATGCATTCACACCAGAAGACATTTTGTTAAGAAAATAAAGCAATAGAAAACCCACCTAACATCTATGAATTTAATTAAAAATAAATAGGTCCTATAACCGTAAATGAAGAACCATCATAGTGAGAATTTGTTCCTTGTGAGATTCATCCCCACACACGTTATCTTTCTTAATGAGACAAGAAAACATGACATTTTGTTGATGAGGTTTTCCTATACCACTAAAACTGGTAGAGGATTAAATGATAAATAAGGCTGGTGAATGACAGAGAGCAATCTGAATTTCTTTACAAAATGGAACAAGTTATTTTTTTGGAAATCTGTGCAGAGAGAACAGTGTGAGCTACAGTTGTAGGATGGAAAAGACTCCATGCTGGGAAATAGGGACTGAAAAGGATTTGATTTTATGATGGATAATCAGATACACGTGGAGCTCCCGCAGTGCGCCACGGCCAAAGTGCTAAAATGATCATTGGTATATAATGAGGAGAATATGAATAAAAGCAGGGAGCTTGCATTATTCAGGCAAAGATTTACTGTGAGGGAAAAGGGAAAGTGCTACACAGACAGTAGCTCCTTGGCGAGGTCTGGCCTGGTGCTTCATGCCTCTGACAGAGGAGAAAGTGGGGCACTGCACAGCTCCTCCCTTGCGCCTGTGCTGGGGTTCAGCAGCCAGCCACCATGCTTCATCCCTGCTGACCTTACCCTGTAGGAAAGCATTTTGGTCTTCTTCCTTGTTTTTTTTTTCTTTGTTTGTTTGTTTTTTTGTTTTGTTGTTTGTTTTGTTTGTTTTTTGGTGTTTTTTTTGTTTTGGTTTGGTTTTTTGTGTTGTTGTTTGTTTGTTTGTTTTAAACATTCTTATTTATTTGGTTTTCTTTAAAAATAAGGGTTTGATAGGAACCCTGGATGAGCTTAAAGGACTGCAAAATATGCTGAAAATGAGGGACTAAATTTCAAACTCTTGATTTACTAAAGAACGGAAAAATGGTACAAAGGCATTCTTAATTTCTCTGGAAAAGATTAGCAAAATCCATTGCCTGGAATTAGAGAAATTTAAGCTTAAAGTAACTTACCACAGAGAAGCGAATTGACCACAGGAAAAACTTACTGAGGACTGCAGTGGACTTTCTCTGTACAGAAAATTTGAAACTATGATCAGTTTTCAGTCTAGCTTAGCTGCATTATCAGTCTTGATACAGAAATTCACTTAGAGGAGTCCTGTAGATATGTAATGAAAGAAGTCACATTAAATAATCAATAGATCCCTTCTAATATTAATATATTTTGGTCAAAAATACAAAATGCTCATGTTGTTCTGTTGAGATGATCTGCAACAAGGTCTTAGTGATGTTTTTTAAAAATGTGCTTTGCAAATAATTTTAATTTGTAAGTGAAATATCAGGCATATAAGCTGTGAAATGTTCAAATTCTTTGCTATGGAATAAAAGATTGATTTTTCTGGTTGATGTAAAAACAGAAATTCACCTAGATTACAAAATCTAGTCTTTCATCTCCAATTAAGCATGTTCAGAATTGCTTATTTCTGTCCATGTAGGAAAGGGAAAGCATAATGCACTGCAGCTGTAGAGATTAACTCTGGAAGTCAGGAGGCTCTGTCCTCCTGTGGGAATACAACTGACAGCCCAACCTACCCATGGGCCACCCTTGTCCCCTTGCATGGGGTCGTGCAGGAGATATGTTGGAGCTGGGCTGGGGAACAAGGGAAGGAGGTGATGGAAGGCCTGGAGTAAGGGCATAGATAGAGACTCCTGCCACTACTATGATAGAAAATATTCTTCTTTAGCTTTCAGATGGGTTTATTTGCTCAACATTTTTTGTTTGTTTGTTTGTTCGTTTTGTTCAGTTCTAGTTAAAAGTACATATTAACTCAAGCCATTTGTTTCTCCTTTCTCATTGCACCTGCTGGCACCTGTTTCACCTTGTTATACCTCCTGGCATAATGTCACTTGCCACTGAGTCATAGCTCTTAGAGCTAATTCAGCCATCCATTCCTCTGCTACTCTGCCCTTCCTGCTTGGAGTGATTCAGAGCCTGGTCTTCACATGCAGCCTTCACCAAGAAGTTAACATAAAAAGGAAGAAAAAACCCCGCACCAATAAACCCTGCTGCTTGCATGGTTGGTCATTTGGCCCATGTTACAGGCATGCTATCTGCACTATCAGTGAAGTGAAAAAAACAGTGCCTTTTTGTATGTCATTTGCTGCCAAAAAAATTCCAAGATCATCTGTACAGTTTGTGAACACCGCCTCTGCTAAAAGAAAGAAAAGCTGAACTGATGGGGGAACAGCATGGAGTGGATTTCAGTGGGCTGGGGAGAGGTTCCATTGTCCCTGGGAGAGAGCACTGCTTCAGGTTGCCCCTAGAAAGACCAAATATCCCAAAAGACAAGCATTCTGTAGAGGTAAACAGAGAAGGGTAGGCTTCCTATGGCTTCTTCAGCCATTTGATAGCCTTCACAGCAGCCTGAAGAACCAGGTCGCTTCAGAGGTTGCCTCTGAAAACATACCATATCTTTGCTTAATTCTCTAGGTTTCAATTTTTATTTATTTATTTTTATTTTTTTTTTATTGTTAGTACCCACCGGTTCTCTGAAATATGTGTAGAGTTCTTTTGGGTTACACTCTGCCTCAGATAAATGTCTTTAAAGGTGCAGCTTCAGCATTACTTTGCTTATACGTATACTTGAGTGTGTGTATGTACTATCTACATCTGGAATGAGGGGCTGTATTAAAAATAAAATAATTATAAAAATAAAATGAAATGGCCTCACATGGAAAGCATTTGGAAAGGAAAATACCGGAGTAAAAATGGAAAAATAAGTACGTGTCAGGCCAGCTGCAGGTTAGGAGCAGCTCTCTGGGAAGCCAATGGGATTTGCTGATGCCCTTCATGGGAAGGCAGAGATGAAGCAAGTACAGCTGCCCTGCAGCACTCTAGTGACCAGGGCTTTAGTCATGCTGCAGGAGAACTTTCAGCTGTAACCTTGCTGGCCTCAGGAGTATTTCTCAGAAGCTAAAGAGGTCAACTTCAGCAAGACTGTGCCCATAGATAGTAATGACCAAAAGGGAGATCCCTGGGGCAGGCAGCATGAAGCTTTTGAAGGTGCTTGTGCCAGCAGATATCTGAGGCATGGGGCATAAGAAAGGGAAGTTCCCCTAACAGCCAAATACATATGTTAAACCCTTCTCAATTTATTCATGCACAAAGGGTAAAGAGACCCTAGGCTGCAAACAAAGACATCATGCACTGCGTTATTTGTCAGCCTCTAAATTAAGAAAGGATTTTAATACGTTCCTTTAAGGGATTTACTCACATGATTAAAGTTAGGCATGATTTTAGGAACCCCAGAAAATCAGTCACCTGATAAACATTTAAAAAGCATGTTTCTTGAAAAACAACACAAAGAAAAGAGATATTATAGCAACAAAAATTTTTCTTAAAAATTATTAAATTATTTGGTCTTTTAATATTTGAAAAGGCTTCATTACCATGCAAACAAATAACAGGTTGGCTATTCACCTTTTGGAAGATGACATTTGCATTCCTATAATAGGAGAGAAGAACCTTAGAAAACTAATGAAGGAGCATAAAAATGCAAATTACTGCAGCTAATTGGCTGTGCCTTCTTATACCTTCTGAATTATTAATTTATGACCGAATAAATCTGCCCCTTTTAAATAAAATAATAAAGAACAACATTGTGCTCTATGCTGTTGAGTGGATAGTGTTTGTTCCCTTTATTTTATGGTGAGTTGCTCTTATTTGCACTAGCGAGATGCTTGCAGTGTTCTGTAAAACTCTGCAGGTCCAGCACTCCTCTCATGCTGACTGACAATATATTTCCTTTTTCTAAAAAAACAAGACAAAAGATGATACCATTATTACAATAATGCTAATTACATCTTTAGTGCCATTGACAGTAAAGTTTAATTGTGAAGCAGGCTCAGAATCCAGCAGCCACCTATTTACATGCCAATATGTGAGTAATTCCATCCACTTCATTGAGATAACTTACATTCATCAGTGGTTGCTGCCCAGTGGGTTGAAGAAATCAAAATAAAATATTTGATAACAGAGCTGATGTATATGCATTTTTCCCTGAATATTATTTTTTCTCCCATAGAAAATTTGGGAAGCTTCTGAGGAACTGCTTATTTTACCTGGGATTTCCATCCCTGTGACACAGCCCTTTGGTGTACATGAGCACAATTTTACAAGTGCTAGATATTCTACCTGGCAGACCTGTACATTCACTGTTTACACAGATTCACGGGGAGACCCTCATATTCCCTGTGAACACTCGCTGATACTGTGCAGCACATAAACAGTGTGCCCAGTACTTTCTGCACTTGCCTTATATTGCTCAAATGCTCCACAGTTATCTGAAAAAATCTGGATTCCTGTGTTTAAGTAATTCTGTGGGACAAGGGCTTAGAATTTAGGCTCAGCTTGCATGATTTGCTTTTTCCCTGATGGCTTCTCATATATACCTGTAGCATGCTTAAATTAACAATTTTTCATTAGAAAAAGATGTATTCTGGGCACTATTTCATATGTGATACCTGCATGACCAAGATTGAAGAATTTGGCCTGTAGGATGGATTTTTGCTTTAGAGGACACAGGCACCACTTTCTGTAAGGCAGAGTGGTTATTATTACAAAAATCAGCCCTTCAAGATGAAGTTTCTCATTCTCCATTTTAGTCACCAAATGATTTCTTTTTAAAATATAGCCAAAACAGGTTAAAAGTTTTGTTGCATTGATTATATGTTGCTTAGTGCGTGGTACTCCAAACCAGAAAAAAATCCATGTGCCAAGGAAATTGTCTGTTTGTCCCAGCCACCACTGGGGCTAGGGTGCCTAAACCAACTGCCACACTGAGGCAGCTCATGGAAAAAGCTTTGCTCGAGTTTGAGTTATCTGGCCAGCTTGAGGCTTCAGTCATGAAAACAACACAAGGGAGTAGCTGTGAGTCCAGGGAATTTCTAGTGTTGAAGGTAGGTAAACAAAAGCTGAAGAATATTAAATCTTATTTATTTTGTTTATCTTTTAGCAGTTCTATAATTCGATTGCACACAAGTTTTGCCTAGCTCTTCCTCTATAGCATCCAAATATTTCACTAGTATCAATGCATTTCCCAGGTGGGAAACGAACCTTATCTTCAGTTTATAGAAGTGAAATTGAGAGATGCAGGGTAGGTAAAATAGCTGCCCAAGGCTGCCTGTGAAAACTTGGGCTGAAACTTGGAGTTTCATCCTGCTTGCTGCACAAACTACTGAGCCATCTTTTTTTGCAGTCTGGATTTTCAGAATATTTTTTAAATGAAAGAACACAAACTTTCCTCTAGGATGACAAAGAGACATTGTCTTCCTAGGCACCATAAATTTCATGGCCATAGCATGCCAGTTTTTGTTGAGCAAATTTCCATATATATATATATATATACATATATATATATATACAAATACATATATATATATATCAATCACTGAGCAGCATTCTGTAAAGGATGTGTGGAATATTATATTTTAGGATCAAGACCAAACCTACTACCATTTGAAAGGGTCATATGAAGCATTAGATCTATAGTACGTGTTACTTAAAATATTAATGAAGCATGTAATAGCTGTTAAACTAAAGCCAAAAGGAGCAGTGAAGAAGGTAGCCTGATATATTACCAACAAGACCAGGGAGGAAAACATCTCAGGAATAGGTATTTCAGTAAGAGCCTATAGGTGGTAATTAAAATCACTTAAGCATAAAAGAATTTAATCCAAATAGATGTGTGAGGAATGTAGCATTTACCTGCAACTTGCTGATAGTGTCTGCTTCAACCACCTCTTTACACCTGGAATCTTCTCTCTTAACTAGAAAGAAGATTAGCAGATGTGTTTATGCTCTAGGAATTGTCGAAGAAACAAAAGAAAGACATAGAAGAGATAATAATTATCCATAGATTCACACAGAGAATGAAGAGGATCACAGGGACTAGTCATTTTCATTTGTCAACAGGCCAAAAACTAAGGGGATTAGCCTACAGCAAATTAGATTAAATATCAAGGAAAAATATGAATTAGTCATGGAGGGAGTATTTTAGAATCAACATCATGAGACTATTTAAGGCTAAACTTCCTAAAGCACAGCTGGAGATGGTTTAAGGTTGATTTAAGTCTCCCATCACAAAAAGGATAGTGGAGCTCACTAGGAACAGGCTCCTCTTGTGTTCCAGCCATGGGCAGTCTTTTGAACTTCAGTGTGGGTTTTCTTCTCCCTTTTGGAAAGTGACAACCTGGTCGACCAGCCCTCTTCCCTCCTTCGTGCTTTAGCCCATTAGCTGTACACTTCTTAAACGGCTTTCTCATTTGTACCTGAGGAAAGGCAGACCTCTGGAAGTCTGCTGTTCTCCCTGCTTTGCTAGGGAGGAGGTGGAGATGTTCATTCATAAAGGCATGGCATTTTCTGCAAGATATATGAGTAGTCGCTTCCTTAAGAACAGGCTTTTGGAGAAAAAGCCAAAGTAACACTTATTGCCCCATGAGGAAAGAAACCCAGCACAGTGACTGAGAAGTGCTACACATTCCTTTGGGAAGAGCCACATCACTTCTTCTCAAGCTTTATTTAACGCTTAAGGGGACTATTATTTATCTCTGCTGACAAAGTTGCAAAATCACCTGGTCAGGTCCTCACTGGCAGCATAACACCTCCCGCTCCCCCCTCCTTGGGCTGAGCGTAGAGAGTGCGTTGCTTTCATCATGCCAGGGGTCTCCTGGTGGGAAATACGTGATGGGCACTCAGCCTGTCCCAAGGCGGCAGAGCCTCCAACACCCCAGGGAGCACCGAGCAGTGCTTCCTAATCCCGGAGTGCCCTCTAGTGCTGACAGCACGGTGCGGCTCCCTCCCTGCCGAGGGGAGCGGGTCCCAAACATGGCACCCCCTTGGGCATGGCCTGAGCCAGGCTTGCCCCGGTGGAATGGGAATGAAAGCAAGATAGCACGTGGGGCTTCACATCTGCCTTGCAAGGTGGCTCATTAGGTACCCACCCCTGTGCAAATAAGTACTGGCGATAAGTACTCCTACTTTTGCCATAGGGCGTTCCTATTTTACGTTAATTTTCCATAAAGCAGTTAAATATGGAAGATACAAAGTGATGGGCAACCCACACTTGCAATATTTTTGAAGAATAACCCCCAAATCCTTTTAATTTATGGACATAGTATTATGCAAACTCATTAGAATCTGAAGACATATTCACTGAATTTGAACAGGGCAGTTTGCTCTTCATAAGGGTGTCACTGTGTTGCTCAGCAACTTGTGTACCTGGGACTGTTTGACCTAAAAGACAACGACTTGGATATATGTGATGTAAACAGACTAAAAGGAACAAGGAAAAGGTTTTTAGTTCTTCTCTACCTCCACTTCCCTTGTATTGTAATTTAACTTCCCAGCTGATGGGAATTTTACTTTTAAATGACAAATGTGAGGCAGCTTTATAATATCGGTCATTACCAGGTGACTTTCTAATATGTAGGTCTCCTAAATTCCTAGTAAAATTAAGGCAAGATTATGTACTTTGCGTTAAGTCTACTGCTGGAGAAATATTGACAAACCAGTAAGTCTATCAGGGACAGCAGGGCACAGAAATCTGTGTGACATGCTACCTGTGGAACATGCCACATCTGCTCTTAGAAAGTCTCTGTGTGTTTGAGTTCTCTTTTTAAAAAAGATACTATTACCAGTTATGACCATTGTGAAAATAGACTTGGGCTATAGGTGCATGTCCTGTTGTGGTTTTACAGTTAGGAAGATGGAGTTATAAATAGGCTCAAGGAAGTTAGTGACAGGCCTACCTGTCTGTCTGTACATTGGTGGAGAGCCTGAATGGGATCTTCAAAGAGCCTTGGTGATCTCTTTTGAGAAGAGCTTTATATCCTGTCTCAAAAGATTTGCCAACACTGAATGCACTGGTCTTTTAATGACAGGAAATTATTGACATCATGTATTCAAGTACTTCTCTGGTGGGAATTTCATACCAGAGTCAATCCACGTCATTCCATTTGTTTCTTTACTTGCTGTTGTGAGTGAGGTCTGCTACTGCAGGTGGGAAACAAGGAACCAAGAAATTCCCTCATCAGAGGGAATAAATAATTTAGGAGTAGATGAAGACATGATATTTACCCTCACCAAGAACTTGCTCCCATCTGTGTATTCGGTACCAAAATGTACTGGAAGGTTTTTATGGTCTTGTTAGGAAACACTTTCCGGTATTTGAACTAGTATTAAAAAAATAAGTAAATTGATTTTGATATAGTAAATATTTTCAAACATGACATCTACCACATATTAAATCTTTTTAGCAGCAGAAGTTAGTTGTCTCAAGAAGGTAAGAGCCTCTTGGGGAAGAAGGCCATCAAAACTGGTAATAACAATGATGAACATTAATATGTTATTGTTGATTTAAAATGGATATTCTTTTTCCTGTATTTGAAATAAGTGCCTCACATTAGATTACTACCTAATCTGTTGCTTGGAATAACAGAGGGAAACTACGGCTTTAGTGCTGAAATATGACAGCACTTCTTTTTGCTGGTGGAGCTGTAATTAACCAAGTAATTTATTAATGGAAGTGCTTACATCACATGAGACTTGGATTACATCATGTGAAACACTGAAGCAGTTTCTTAAAATTTTTTTCTTTGGCTTGCTTTAGAATTTCTTGAAGAAATGAAAGTTTTTTTAAGTGTCAAGAAGTCCACTGGCTTTTGAAATTTGTGGAAAAGTGAGAGCTAGGTTGAAGTGACTCAGAACTGAGTTCAGAGATTCCTATTGAACCTAATGTTTAATCTACTTAAAATAAAAAATTTTGCTTTTATTTTGGTTATTTTAAAAACAAAACAAAACATACTGTTTTACTTTGACCTTGTTTTTTTGTATTTCTTCTGAATCTTTGGTATATCTACCGACATAAAGCCAAAGAAAGTCAATTAGTTCTCCAGACTAACTAATTTGGTGTGGCAGAATAATGCCCTTTACAGTTGCTTTGCAAATACTCTTCTTGCAACCATCTTGTTTATGGGAAATTCTGGAAAAATAGCAAAATAACAAACCAAGAAGCTTTGTTCAAGCATTTTTTTTTATTGAGTGATAACTTCATCAACTGAAGTCAAGTGCTTCTACAGAAAGTATGTCAATCTGTACATAGCTATAGGAAAGAAAGGCTCAGGTCACTAAATAATTTCTGTGGGCTTTGGGTATGTTCTGTTGATGGCAGTACTGTGAAAATGTTGGTAATTAATATTATTTACAAAGGAAGAGATTTAAATTGCTCTATTATCTTTAGCAATTAGTGTCCTCAGATTTCAGCTCATAAAGTTTTTGTTTATGAGTTGGCCCTAAAGCATGTACAGACCAGACCTGTTTTCTCTAAGATTTCTAAAATGTTGTTGCAGACATAGTTTTGTGGATGTTATTTGCTTGTTTTGGGCATCTGGAATACCATGTAAAGTTTGTTTTCTCTCTCTGAAATGACATGGTTCAGGATTTTAAAAATAAGCGGTATGCAAAATTTTACTTCCAAATATAATGATTTAAAAATGCTGAGCAGTTCCATTCGGTGCCAGAGAGCTCAGTGCTTCAGAAAAATAAAATTACTTATTTTTCAACCTAAATTTAGACACCTTCATTAAAACCCTCTGATAAATGTTCCAAAGGAATAAGTTAATAGTTAATTATCACCCTTACACTTTGGTTTAAAAAGAAATATTTTGTGTAATGACAAATCTGGGAAAAAAATCCTACAGATAAAGGTACTTTAAAATGTGAAAATTATTAGAAACCAGTGTGAAGGCCACCTGGAAGCATTTCTTAACAGAGATAGATACAACAAAAAGCAGAATGGTAAGAGCAAAGGCAAGGCTCAAGTTGTTTATTCCTAAGCAAACAGGAATTCTTCAACAAATGGTAGTTTTGCCAAATTGAATGAAATGAAAAGGAGAGAAAGATGAGAATTTAGAGATGTGGGAAACCTATGAAACAAATAACCAGAGATATGGAAGACCAAAAAAAGCTTAAGTTATCAATAAAATGAGATCAGAAAACCTGCATGAAAATCTGTAAGTTTGCTGAACTATAGTTAAGGATGGTGAGTACTGCAGTACTGCAGAAAGATTTGTCTCAGTCTTCACCATATGAATTAATGGTGAATATATTTTTCTGTAGCTTATTCTTTCTAAGGAACAAAAATAAAGGATGTTACAAGGTCAGGGTGCTGATATCTGGAGATACTGAAATAATATTCAGATATTTTTAATCCAGATCATGTTTCATTTGATAAATCATAACTTCTCTTTAAAAAAAAATCCCCAAACAAGTTAACAAAAATGTAGTGAAGAATGGGATGACATCTAAATTGAATTTTCTTTTCAGAAAATGCTTCATGCCTCATGAGAGGTATGACTGAGGAGAATATGACTGAGAGGTATGACTGCAAGACAAGAAAACCTCACTAAAGTAAGATTAAATGGCTAAGCCTTAGTATGGGCAAAGGTGAATACTGCAGTGCCTCAGTCTCCCTCTCTAAATACATGTGTTTATATGCATATTTTTCTTGAAAAGTAGGTGAACACTAAATGAAAAATATGCAGTAGACAAAGTGATCCAGGTTAGCTTGGATGAGAGATGACTGAGGAACTTGGAGGGACAAAAGCATACTAAAAGCATACATG